TAAAACAAGTTGGCATCATTAATTTATTTTTATTTATGGTGAGAGAGCCTTTCAAAGGGAGTAAACCTCCATTCTTTTAGTTCAAGGAGGCAAAGTGCAACTGAACATAAATTAGAAGAAAATTTTTAATTAACCTTAAATATTTAATCTCCAATAAAAATTGAGTGCCATTTCTTAACCAGAACACCGCAGATAGCTAGACTGAACAAACACAAAAAAATTCGATCTCATTAGGATGGAATGAATATTGCATATGGCTTCTTAGATTAGAATCTGTGTTCTGGCTAGGAGGGGTTACTTTTGTTTGCCTGCTGTGGAAGTGTCACCTTATTGCAACAAATTTTTGTTCGGAATAAACAGGATTGAGGTGCCTAAAATCACGAATTTGATGGGTGCAATTAATGGTATGGATGAGTTTGTTTTGAGATTAAGTGGATGAAATTAGGGATGACAATTGGAGCAGGTGCCTGCGTGCGGTTCATGGCGTAGGGTGGGGCGGGGTAACTTTCACCCCCCATTAAAATTTATAAGGGACAATTTCAGAAACCTCTCCTAATATTTTGCACAATATCACTCAGCACCCTTTTGGTTTTTAAAATCTCATCTACTGCTCTTGAATTGACATTTCTTATAATATTTTAGTTCCCTTGGAGGAAATGCAAGAAAGATAAAGTATTTCTTCCAATACTACCCTTATGTTATCCTACTTTTGAAGCTTACAACAACAATAAAAAATAAATAAGGTTAAAAAGTAAAAAGATGAAAATATGAGCTTTTATAAATACAATAATGAGTAATTTTATAGATATACATCAACTATTATCTACCATAAAGCATGATGTTTAAAAAAAAAGGATATTCCTAAATATATATTTGGTCATTGGATTATTTTTTGATTATTTTTTAAATTTTGACTCATTTATAAATTTTTTTTCTATAAGTAAGATTTATATTACAAACCACACATATGAAGAGATTATTTTAGTTATCAGTACAACTTAAAGTACATCATGGATTAAAACATATTTTCCAAAAAATTTTTTTGACTTCCTCATATATGTCCACAAAAATTTTCATGGTGTTAATTACTCATCAAAATTGTCTTAAAGTGGTTGACTTTCGCTAGATTTAATTTATTCACATCTTTTGTTGTCTCATCATAACTTTGATACAGAGAAATATAGACCATTATTAAATAACAATTTGTTTTTTCTAATACATTTTGTGGTTTAAAATACAGTGAAAAAGGTACGCATGATACATAGCATGATATATAGCATTGCAAATATAAAAGTAAGTCAGAGTCAAACAGTGAAGCTTCCAACAAAAGGAGCATCTTTCATCTTTCAATTGAAAGAAGCTTAGAAACAAAAACTGATGTTTGCGGTCCACAAAAGAGAACAATTAAAAATAGGGCCCAAGAAGAAGTAAATTACGAAGCGGCCAAACAACTTGTAACATAGATCTTGGATCAAGGCAAAAATGAATGGCATAGGCGGAAAATAGGAAAAATGGAAAAAAAATGGAGAATGAGGGTTCTAAAGGAAAAATATTGAGAAAAGAAATAGGTCATCAAACCGGAAGCTGATGCCTAATAAGGTTGAAAATTTTATGGAAAATATCTAAAATTGTTCATTCAGAATAGGCATGCATCTCATGTGGACTAACTTCTGTCTATCTTAACTGCGAGAATAAATCAAATGGCCAAGATGAACTATTTTTACGAACTTAGTAGTTTTTTTTTTTTTTTGGATTAAGTGAGAAGTCTTGAATTTAGAACTTTTAACTTACGATCCCTCCCTCCTTATCACCCAACCCTATCCTCCCTTGAATTTAGTAGGCTATTCTGCATGAAAAATAATTTAATAGGAGAACTAAGAATTTTAGAAAGTTTACCCAACCCTATCCTCCCTCGAACTTTTTATTTGTATTATTTGAATCCTAATATCTTGTTATCCAAAACTAGGTCTTAGGATTAATCCTTGGCCAAATCAGTCGACGAATTTTTTCTTAACATCTTTACAACTAATTATTTCACGTTGTTATTCTATATGATCCCGTTGTCACTTTTTTTTTTTTTTAGTCTATCACAAATCAATACGAAAACTACAATTACAACACTACAGAATCAACTATGAGCTAAAAAAACTGTCAACAAAGCTCTAATTTACACAAAAATCCTAATTTTCCTTCGTTTTCTTCACATTCTTTCAACCACATAATAGTTCTTGATTGTATCAATTATTGAATCAACAAGTCTATCAGTGATAGGTTGCAATTTTACTATTTATTTTATTATTAATTTCCCCTATTAACCGACTTAATGTGGATTAATTGCTGGATTCTATTCACTTTTTGTAATTTGCATTTATTTCAGGGAGTAGAACAAAAACATCACAATCAAGGCCAATTTGATAATCATCAGGAAAGAATTCAAATAGAAGGCTTGCAGGGGCATTTTTAGAACAAAAGAGACGCAAGCCCTTTATTGTCATTTGGCCGAAGTCTTCCTCAAAAAAGAGAGGAAAAGGAGCCGCCGCAGATAAAGAGGAAGAATTGAGGGCAGAAAACTAGTACTAGCTTTTCTTCTTAGTTTTTCGTCTTTGAGTGCAGTTTTTGGACTTACTTTATGGCTTTGGGGACTTACGAATGTCAGGATCCCTAAGCCATTCTTGGCTTTTGACTTTTCTTCATCTTTGAACCTTTAGTATTTACATTCCTTTCTTCGTATGTCATTCAAAGAAAAACATAGGGCTACCTCTTGTAACTTTGCTATTTTTTTCTTGATTGGAGTGAATTGCATTTCCCAATTTTTGTGATAATGGTTGCGGCTCTCTTTACAATTTCTTGTGGGTTTAGTTTATCAAAAATGAATTAATTCCCTCACTCTAGTCAAGGGATAACGGATGCTTTGAGTTGCCTAAAATTGTGAAATCGATTTAATTTTACCCTTTTCTTTTATTTATTGGTATTCGCATATTCCCTGGTTACAGTGCTTATGATTGTTTAATTAATTGATTGTCTTGGATCCAGATAATTAATTGATTTGATAATCTATTGTCAATTAAGGCATTAAATACGTAATTGTTTAATTGCCTTAAATTAGTGATAACTGGCACGATTAGATTTGTGTCAGGGGGATACGCGGGCTAATCTGAAATAACCCTGGTAGTGCGTTATTTGGTTAGAATAGGCCTCCTCTAATACGTAAGGCAATTAGGGAATTAAATCTTACGGACGTACCTAGAATTATTTCCTAATTAGAGCAGTGATTAACGGGCGTACCTTAATCACCGACACAGTAAGGAGGGGTTGACTGCCATCACTTGTTTGGCAATTATAACATATTTATTAGTAAATAATTGGAATTGCCTTTGCTTCGATGATCAATTAGGTGAACCATTGCTAAAGTTACTTCTTGGCTAGATCCTTAATTAAAACTACCTTGATTTTAGTGAATTGCCATTTGACTTTTAGTTGCCTACTTTATTTTATTTTTAATTGTTTTCTTGTTTTAATTGATTTAGGCCTTTAATTATTGTTACTCTAAGTTCAGTGAATTGTGGTTTAATTTCTAGTTAGTTATTTATTTTTATTTTCTTATTTGAATTTATTTGATTGTCGTCGTTCCTATAAATCACCGCCCTGTGTTACTTTGGATTTTTTAAGAAACAAATATACCCAGTCCCTGTGGATACGATCCTACTTGTCCTGTCTACAAATTCATAATTATTTATGAAAGGAAATAACCATTCCATTCGGGTATATCGGATCAAGCAAACTCTTCGGGAATCGGGTGAATCAAATAACCCATTGCACACCTAGAGTCCCTGCTCCAGTACTTGGAATTGGGTTTTGGTCATTTAACTGGAAATTAGGTTTAATTTTATTATTGTACAGGTTTCGATAACCTGTCAATTTTTGGCGCCGTTGCCGGGGACTAGCATTATTATTTGTTTCTTTTTAAATTAATTTTTATTCTAATTTTCTGGTATTTTTTTTCTAGTGTATGTCTCGATTTTCTCGTACAGGTGATTTGATTTTTGACCCTGAAGTAGAGAAGATCGCACGTAGAACGAGAAAGAAAATCAGACAGCTCAGAGAGGAGCAGTCCAGTGTTGCATCTCAGAGACCTGAGCCAGGAGTTGAACCAACAGATTCGTTTAGTGACACTTCAAGTGACTCTGACCAAAAGGAAGGAACCATGGCTAATGCACGAACATTAAGGGAGTTGGCTGCCCCTATTTTAAATCAGCAGCCTCTATGCATTACCTTCCCCACCTTAAATGATAACACTCCATTTGAACTAAAATCTGGTCTGATTCATCTTTTACCCTCTTTTCATAGTTTACCAGGTGAAGAGCCGTATAAGCATCTGCATGAGTTTGATGTCGTGTGCAATAGTATGAACCTCCGGGCATTACAGAAAAACAAATAAAAATGAGGGCATTCCCCTTTTCCTTGAAGGATCTGCAAAGGACTGCTTGTACTACTTGCCACCAGGTAGCATCACCACATGGGACCAATTAAAGAAAAAATTTTTGGATAAATATTTTCCTGCGTCCAGGACTGCAAGTCTAAGGAAAGAAATTTGCGGGATCAAACAGCATCCAGGGGAGTCACTCTATGAATATTGGGAGCAATTCAAGAAGTCGTGCAGCAAATGCCCCCAACACCAGATAAGTGAGCAGTTACTCATACAGTATTTTTATGAGGGGCTCCTTTTCAGAGATAGGAGCATAATTAATGCTGCAAGTGGAGGGGCACTGGTGAACAAAAGCCCTCGGGAAGCACAGGAGTTAATTGAGGGGATGGCAGAGAATTCACAACAATTCGGTACGAGGGAGGATGTCCCAACACGCAAGGTGAATGAGGTAGAGACATCCTCTATCCAGTAGCAGCTAACTGAGTCGACCTCGTTTGTTAGACAACTGGCTGTAGGAAACGCATCTCAGGCCAAGGTATGCGGAATTTGCACTGGTATGAGTCATTCTACAGAGATGTGCCCAGCGATTCAGGAAGAAAGTGCAGAGCAAGTGAACATGGTTGGTCACGCGCCTGCGCCAAAATGGCCCTATGACCCGTACTCGAATACGTACAATCCCGGCTGGAAGGACCACCCGAATTTCAATTATGGAAGAAATAGACAGCCCAACTTTGCACCGAACATGCAGTCTAATTTCGTGCCAAATAAGCAACCAGGGTACCAGCAACAATATCAACCCCGACCACCTCCGCCCCCAAGCTCTGGTCCATCTTTGGAGGAGATGATGAAACAACTTATGGCAACCATCACGCAAAATCAGCAAAGGACGGACTCCGAAATACAGGACATAAGAAATCAGATGAGTCAAATGGCCACAAAAATCAACCGTTTGGAGTCCCAAGTAAATGGAAGATTGCCATCCCAACCTGAACTGAACCTGAAGAACGTAAGTGCAATGACTTTAAGGAGCGGGAAGGAAATTCAGGGGTCCGAACTTGTGACTCCAAAGGATAATGACGAAGAAAAGATTGAGAAAGAACTTCAGGCAGAGAATACAAGCACCAAAAATCCAATGGTACTCCCTGACCCGATCATAGACATTAAAACTAATCCCCCTCCATTTCTTTGTAGGTTGGAAAAGTCGAAGAAACAGGACAATGAGAAAAAGATCCTGGAGGTGTTTCGCAAGGTAGAGATCAATATTCCCTTACTAGACGCCATCAAGCAAGTGCCGAAGTATGCAAAATTTTTGAGGGACCTATGTGTCAATCGAAGGAGGTTGAGGGGAGATGAAAGAGTTATTCTTGGGGAGAATGTGTCAACAATTCTCCAAAGAAAGCTCCCACCAAAGTGTGGGGATCCAGATAGATTTACTGTCCCACGTAAGATAGGTAATACTCTGATTAGCAATACCCTGCTGGACTTAGTAGCATCGATCAACGTAATGCCTAAATCTATGTATGCTTCTCTGAACCTCGGTCCATTAAAAGAAACCGAAATAATAATTCAATTAGTTAACCGAACAAATGCATACCCTGATGGGTTGTTAGAGGATGTGCTGGTTAAAGTTAATAATTGATATTCCCGGCTGACTTTTATGTACTTGACATGGATGATGATCATTCCCCTAACCCTTCACCTTTGCTACTAGGTAGACCCTTTTTGAGTACAGCACAGACAAAAATTGATGTTAATAAGGGTACATTGTCCATGGAATTTGATGGAGAATTAGTCCACTTTAATATTTTCGATACAATGGAACATCCTGTTAACTCTCACCATGTGTTTGCTATTCATGCTATTAATCCCTCTGTGAAAGAATTTTCTGAGTTTGCTTGTAGGAATAAATTCAAATTTACTGAGAACAAGTATAAGGGAATGAAAGCACTGTATGAGGTGAAAAGGAGTAGAAAATTAAGAAAGAAGACTGCACTCAAAGGCTATTTGGATCCTGGAGGAGGGCCACTGATTTTCAGGAAAATTGAGTTACACCCAGATTGAAGAGTGGTGTTCAATGTTTAGCAAAAGACATTAAAGAAAGGCGCTCATTGGGAGGCAAACCAATTATTTCTTTTAATTGTTTGTTTGATTTCGTGTGATAGTTTAAATATGTTTTCCTTGAATTTGACTGATTTTGGGTTTCAATTTTCGTTTTTGCTGATTTGTAGGTGTTCTTCTATCATGACCCGCCCGCGTGATGAGACATGGAGAGCTCACGGTCAGAATCGTCAGAAGGGGTTCCTGCCCTCATGACGCGCCCACGTCGTGACGTATAGAGAGCTCACGATTAGAATCGTTAGAAAGAGTTTCGATCCTCATGACGCGCCCGCGTCAAGTCCCCTGAAGAGCTCATGGTCAGAGAGCTCTCTTGCTCTCATGACGTGTCCGCGTCAAGTAACTTGGAGAGCTCTTCACTCCATGCCTTCGTCACGTGCCCACGTCACATTCGCAGGAAAGGTAAGTATTCAAAAAAAAAAACTCAAAAACGATTATTGATTTCCTGTTAATCTCTACTTTTGAATTCCAAAAATAAATTTTGTTAATAATAAAAAAAAAGATGATATATGTAAAAAAAAATTTTCAAGTAAGTAACAAGGAGAAAAAAAAAGGGAGTCTTTCCGTGAAAACAAAAAAAAATTTCTAAAATGAAAAAAAAAAACAAAAAAGCAAAAAAAAAAAAACACAAATACTATTTTCTTTCTTTTTCTTTTTTCCCTATTCTTTCTTTTCTTTCCTTTTCTTTCTTTCTTCTTCTTTTCTTTCTTTATTTCTTTCTTCTTTCTTCTTTCTTTCTTTCTTCTCTTTTGTTTCTTCCTCCTGCTCAATCGAAGCCTCGCCGCCCGCCGCCATACCCCAAGTCTTCAGCCTTCCTCGTGCCGCCACCACAGTCGTTCACCAGCTCATCTCCGCCCGCGAGCTGCCGTCGTTCCACCGGTCGCATCGCAAGCCCAAGCAGACGACCTGCTTGCGCGCCGCCGCTGCCACTACAGGGCAACCCACCACAGCGTCGCACAGCCACGCAGCCGCGGCCCTCCAACTCCTCTCTCTCCGCCCGTCACCTTCCACCAGCGACTACCACTTCACCTCGCCGACGCTTGCCTCCCATCGCTACCCACGGTTTCCGTTGCCCAAATATTGCTTGGAATTGTCGCTCAAAGACGATGTGACGGTATTTATTTGTCTCAATTCCCTAGCAAACTTTTGCAGTAGTATTGTTCCAATCATGTTTTGGGCCTCGTTGTGATTTGTTTTGCCACTGCTTTATATTGAATTGCTGGAGTTGCTAATTGCATTGCTTTGGGGTTTGTTTTGCTGCCTTGGGTGTTGACTGGATTTATGTTAACAAGTTGGAGAATGCTTTGCCTATTGGTTTCATTTGTTGACATTTTTGGTAGCACGGTGGCACTTGAATCTACTCGTGGACGTTGGTAGAATTTAATTGATTAGTTGGCGACAAATTGGCTACTGACTTAGGTTGCTATTTGGGTGACTGTTTGATTGAAAGCTCAGTGTTTTTTTTATTGATTTGTTACTGTCTAATTTCTGCACTGCTATTGCTGATTTTGAGTTCAAACGGTAACTGGCCAACTGGAGCCATTTGTTGAGATTTTGGGTGGACAGAGTTTTGCATTTGCTGGTTGAATTGAGTTAAGATGTCTCAGCACTTGGGTGCATCCTTTCGCCACATCAGTTTTCCTCCACTGTTCCCGCCTACCCCTTCGCCACTTGAGAGGGAAGTTTCATTGTTCTCTTCACTTTAATTACTTTATTACTTCCATTGAGAACAATGTAGGATTTAGGTGTGGGGGGGAGCAGTTATGGTGTTAGTTTTTATAGTTCTTAGTTTTCAGATATTTTTCTTTTATTTTTAATTTGTCATTTGTCTAGTTTTCGCTTACTTTTTGTCATTCATCTGTCTAGCTCTCCTGTGCATGCCAAGGTTTGATGTTGGATTGTTGCCTCTATTTCTACTTTTGTCAAGTTTTAATAATAAGAATGTATCAAGTTAGTGTGGTTGAGTCCAAAAATATCTCTTTGGTGAATATCGGTGATTGTATGGCTCTTCTATTTTTTGGTTAACTCTTCTAGGCATTGGGAATGACTGTTGGCATTTTCATGTGAATTGGTCCGGTTATTAACCTTAGTTCTCCATATTTAAAATTGAGGCTAACGGCTGCAAATTTTCTTTTGATTTTTGTTTTATTTTGAATTTTTGGTGTTATTAGGCTGTGAATAAGAGTTGACTGTACTCCGCTAGTATTTACTACTGAGTAACCGGAGATCTGCACCTAAAAGTGTCGATTCTTGCATCAAAAAGTAGTAATTGCTATGAGTGCGTGGTCACGTAGCGATAGAAGTTGAGTAACCGGGCTCTTTCATCTAACAAATGTCAGAGTTCGCGTCAAAAGACTCCAATGGCTAGCGACTAAGTCTTTTGTACTATTGAAAAAAGCAAAAAAAAAAAAAGGAGAGAAAAAGGAAAGAAAAAAGAGAAAAGTAGAAAAATGTGAAAAAAATGAAGGTTGTGTTAGTGTATAATAAAAGTCAGCTTGTCGATTTATGAATTTAATGTTGAGATTTTGGTTAATAGTTGGACCATTTGCTGATAAATGTTGTGCGTCATTCCTTTTTCTTAGATTAGTTAACTTAAAATTGGAAGAGTTTGCAGTTTAGAAGCTAACCGAAGTGATATTTCTTGGATCTTGATCACTGAGGCTTGATCTATGTTTTTCTTGGTATCTTGGCAATATGATAGATGGAGCAATAGCCATTGTCAGATATTGGTGTTTGTTTGTTGTTATCATGCTTGAGGGCAAGCATGGTTTAGGTGTGGGGGGAATTGATAAGTTGTAATTTTACTATTTATTTTATTATTAATTTCCCCTATTAACCGACTTAATGTGGATTAATTGCTGGATTCTATTCACTTTTTGTAATTTGCATTTATTTCAGGGAGTAGAACAAAAACATCACAATCAAGGCCAATTTGATAATCATCAGGAAAGAATTCAAATAGAAGGCTTGCAGGGGCATTTTTAGAACAAAAGAGACGCAAGCCCTTTATTGTCATTTGGCCGAAGTCTTCCTCAAAAAAGAGAGGAAAAGGAGCCGCCGCAGATAAAGAGGAAGAATTGAGGGCAGAAAACTAGTACTAGCTTTTCTTCTTAGTTTTTCGTCTTTGAGTGCAGTTTTTGGACTTACTTTATGGCTTTGAGGACTTACGAATGTCAGGACCCCTAAGCCACGTAAGTCCCCCTAAGCCATTCTTGGCTTTTGACTTTTCTTCATCTTTGAACCTTTAGTATTTACATTCCTTTCTTCGTATGTCATTTGAAGAAAAACAGAGGGCTACCTCTTGTAACTTTGCTATTTTTTTCTTGATTGGAGTGAATTGCATTTCCCAATTTTTGTGATAATGGCCGCGGCTCTCTTTACAATTTCTTGTGGGTTTAGTTTATCAAACATGAATTAATTCCCTCACTCTAGTCAAGGGACAACGGATGCTTTGAGTTGCCTAAAATTGTGAAATCGATTTAATTTTACCCTTTTCTTTTATTTATTGGTATTCGCATATTCCCTGGCTACAGTGCTTATGATTGTTTAATTAATTGATTGTCTTGGATCCGGATAATTAATTGATTTGATAATCTATTGTCAATTAAGGCATTAAATCCGTAATTGTTTAATTGCCTTAAATTAGTGATAACTGGCACGATTAGATTTGTGTCAGGGGGATACGCGGGCTAATCTGAAATAACCTAGTAGTGCGTTATTTGGTTAGAATAGGCCTCCTCTAATACGTAAGGCAATTAGGGAATTAAATCTTACGGGCGTACCTAGGATTATTTCCTAATTAGAGCAGTGATTAATGGGCGTACCTTAATCACCGATACAGTAAAGAGGGGTTGACTGTCATCGCTTGTTTGGCAGTTATAACCTATTTATTAGTAAATAATTGGAATTGCCTTTGCTTCGATGATCAATTAGGTGAACCATTGCTGAAGTTACTTCTTGGCTAGATCCTTAATTAATACTACCTTGATTTTAGTGAATTGCCATTTGACTTTAAGTTGCCTACTTTATTTTATTTTTAATTGTTTTCTTGTTTTAATTGATTTAGGTCTTTAATTATTGTTACTCTAAGTTCAGTGAATTGTGGTTTAATTTCTAGTTAGTTATTTATTTTTATTTTCTTATTTGAATTTATTTGATTGTCGTCGCTCCTACAAATCACCGCCTTGTGTTACTTTGGATTTCTTAAGAAACAAATATATCCAATCCCTGTAGATACGACCCTACTTGCTCTGTCTACAAATTCATAATTATTTGTGAAAAGAAATAACCATTCCATTCGGGTATATCGGATCAAACAAACTCTTCGGGAACAGGGTAAATCAAGTAACCCATTGTACACCTAGAGTCCCTGCTCCAGTACTTGGAATTGGGTTTTGGTCATTTAACTGGCAATTAGGTTTAATTTTATTATTGTACAGGCTTCAACAACCTGTCAATCAGCAGGCATGGATTTCCTTTTGAACTGCCTCCAGGTGTAGCAATCGTTACTGAAAATATAGTAGT